CTGTCAGAACCTGTCAGAACCTCTGTCAGAACCTGTCAGAACCTCTGTCAGAACCTGTCAGAACCTCTGTCCTCTGTCTTTTTCAGGCAGCTGTCAGCTGATCGTGGACCCTCAGTGTCACATGCTGCCCTACAACCACACGTGGCTGTCCTCCTCCGTTGCCGTGGTGAAGAGTTCTGAGGTTGACATGTTGCTAAGGTAACTGCACCCAGAGTCCAACTGGGTCCAACAAGGCCAAAGGTCCAGACCTGGAGACCAGTCTCCAGAAGGTATTTGGGTTTCTGTCATGGTACGGGGTCCATCAGGAGGTCTTAGGGTGTCCTGTCCTCTCTGACCCCTTCAGTCGAGTCAGATGGCTGTCTGTCCTGACCCTGGTTCTGACCCTGGTTCTGGTTCTGACCCTGGTTTTGGTTCTGGTTAGTTTCTTCCTGTTAAAAGGAGTTGTTTCTTCCCACTGTCACCACCGTGCTGCTCAGGATGACAGATCCCAGTCTGTCAGAGCTGGTTTTACACAGCTGTGTTACAATGAGACAGCACGGTGGTGCAGTGGTTAGAGCATCACCTCACAGCAACAAGGTCACATGTTCCACCTGTGCAGCTGTGGGTTTTCTCTTCTTTATAAAGTAAAGTTAGATGAAGTTAAAAGCTGTTTTTAGTTTGTTCTTTTATACATCTGTTGATGTTAGTGTTAGGGTTAACCCTGACCTGAACAACTGGGTCGGTGCAGAAGTTCTGGTTCTGAACTCTGACGTTTGTGTCACAGGTTCTTCAACTACCTCAGCAGACTGTCCTGCTACAGACACATCATGATGTTCGGCTGCTCGCTGGCTCTGCCCGAGTGTGTCCAGGCCCACGGCACAAACAGCAGGTAAACAAAACAAACAACAGGTGACAGTAAACAATAAACAACAGGTAACAGTAAACAATAAACAACAGGTAACAGTAAACAATAAACAGCAGGTAACAGTAAACAATAAACAACAGGTAACAGTAAACAATAAACAACAGGTAACAAAACAATAAACAACAGGTAACAGTAAACAATAAACAACAGGTAACAGTAAACAATAAACAACAGGTAACCAAAACAATAAACAACAGGTAACAGTAAACAATAAACAACAGGTAACAGTAAACAATAAACAACAGGTAACAGTAAACAATAAACAACAGGTAACCAAAACAATAAACATTAGGTAACAGTAAACAATAAACAACAGGTAACCAAAACAATAAACAACAGGTAACAGTAAACAATAAACAACNCTGGGTCGGTGCAGAAGTTCTGGTTCTGAACTCTGACGTTTGTGTCACAGGTTCTTCAACTACCTCAGCAGACTGTCCTGCTACAGACACATCATGATGTTCGGCTGCTCGCTGGCTCTGCCCGAGTGTGTCCAGGCCCACGGCACAAACAGCAGGTAACCAAAACAAACAACAGGTGACAGTAAACAATAAACAGCAGGTAACCAAAACAATAAACAACAGGTAACCAAAACAATAAACAACAGGTAACAGTAAACAATAAAGAACAGGTAACCAGAACAATAAACAACAGGTAACAGTAAACAATAAACAACAGGTAACCAGAACAATAAACAACAGGTAACAAAAACAATAAACAACAGGTAACAGTAAACAATAAACAGCAGGTAACAGTAAACAATAAACAACAGGTAACAGTAAACAATAAACAGCAGGTAAACAAAACAATAAACAA